TTGGCCTTTCAGCTTTTAATTACACCAATCACAGCAACACATTTTCACACAGTATACAAATATCCCGGAACACTCTGAAACTGTGAGCTCTAACAAACTCCTGTAAGTTGCCTTGCCCATGGTATCTCTTCATTGCAATGACGTGATTGAGACACTCACTTAGCACATAAAACTTTTGTGGGGTGGGGGCAGGGGTTCATGTATTATTATTATTATTGAGGCAGGGTTTCCCTGTGTACCTCTCTAGCTGTCCTGGAACTTGCTCTGTGGATGAGGCTGGCCTCAGACTCAGAGACCCACCTACCCCTGCCTCTCTAGTACTGCTGGCAACCAGCACCTTTACCTACTGAGCCATCTTGTCATGGAAAACATTGAAGTTAGTCAGTTTTTGTCTTGAACATCCTCAGCAATTAGATTGAGTTTTCCAAATGCAACTTTGCCAATCTGTACATCAGCAAGGTTCATTTCAAACACTTGAGCCTTGAGGCCATCAGATGCGATTTTGGCTCCTTGGGCCTTTGACACTGATGTTTTCTAATGTTTCTAATATTGAACATAGTTGGAGCTTTCACATCATACTAATCTCTGTTTACAAATGGGTGGAGCTTTCACATATACCAATTTTTGTTAACAAATGAGTGGAGCTTCCACATATACCTGGTTTGAGCAGTTTTCCTGCCAGCCTGGTCCCGCAGCCGTGTCAGCCCCAAATAACACACAGAGACACTGTATTAGATATAGATATAAAGCTATGGGCCTGTTACTAGCATTTCTTATTGGCTAGCTCTGTCTTAAATATTAACCCATTTCTATTAATCCAAGTGTTTCCATATGGTCTTATCTTACCAGAGAGAGGGTCTGAAACTTCTTTTCTCAAGTTCCTACATCTTGAATCTTCCTACCACATCTCCCAGAATCCTCCTTGTCTCCTGGTCCTGACTATCTTGCCTTCCTATTTGCCAATAGTGCTTTATTCATTAACCAATAAGAGAAACATATAGACAGAATGACATCTCCCATCATATACCAATCTCTTTGCAAATGGACGAAGCTTTCACATCATATGAATTTCTTTACAAATGGATCAACCATTTTCTTCCTAGCTCCTGTCTTGCTGACCACCACATGTTGCCAAAAGGACAAGAATAGGTTGTTTAAATCATATGCCTAAAATACCAGCACTGGGGAGGCAGGAGGAGATGGATTTCTCGTGTAGTCATATATCCTCTTCACAATGTCTTCCTTAGGTAAGTAGAGTTGGGAAAACTCAATGGTGCTTCATGGTGCAGGAGGAAGTTCTGAAAGAGCTGCTAGTGGGTAGATGGACAGGTACTAAGCTGGAGGAACCAAAGCTCAGTAAGCACCAGTCCAAGCACCTGTCCAAAATTCAGCTTCTTATTGTTATTATTATCTTTCTAGATAATGATATGTAGCTTTGGCTCACCTGCTGTTCTCTGTATAGAGTAGGTCAGTCTTGCATTCATAGAGATCCACCTGCCTCTACCTCCTAAGTGCTGGGATTAAAGGTGTGTGTCTCCATGCTGGTGAATATCCTGATTTTTTTTTTTTTTTTTTTTTGGTTTCTTGGAATAGGGTTTCTCTGTGTAACAGCCCTGGTTGTCCTGGAACTTGCTTTGTAAACCAGGTTGGTTTTGAACACACAGAGATCTGCCTGCCTCAGATCCCAAGTGCTGAGAATAAAGGGATGTACCACCACCCCTGGCCCTAATGTCCAATAGTGACAATTAAAAGGTCCTGTTTTTGATTTTTTAAAAATTCAATTATTGGTTGGGTGAGATGGTTCAGTAGGCTTGCTGCAAAACCTGATTACCTGTGTTCAATCCCTGGGACCCACATGGTGGAAGGAGAGAACCAATACACACACACACACACACACACATACATGCACACACATATACATTCAGATGCACATACACACACAGACACTGGGACACAAAGACACACACATATATGTAATAAAAAGTATTGACACAGGTTTTGAAATCCTAGATATAACCGTATACTTGACTATTCTTTTAGTTCAATGTTTTTGCTTCACACACTTTAAAGGGTTGTTATTAAGTGCAAATACATTTAGAATTAGTATGTCTTCTTAGTTGGACTCTTTATCAGTAAACTTGGTCCCTTCCTTATTCCTGATGTTTTTCTTGGGCTGTCAGGGGCACTAGCACTGCCTAAAATAACAGAATCATCCAAAGGGTGGAACATGAAGGACAACAAAACCATTCTTACAAGATTTCTCAGCAGTGTTTTCAATGTGTATCTTCTTTTTTTTTCCCTCTCTCTTAAAAAGGATTTATTTTTATGTCTGTTTTGCCTGCATGGATGTCTCAGTGCCCAAGGAGGTCAGAAGATAGCCCCAGATTCCCTGGAACTGGAGTTTCATGCAGATGGTAGTGGGCCACCATGTGGCCCTGGAAACCAAACCTAGGTCAGGGCTCTTAACAGCCAAGCCTGGCATATATTTCTCTGCTCTTCTACTTTGACTAGCAGCCTTCGGTAAATCAAATCAAACAGACTTGGAGACACTGGTGAAGAAAATGTCTAAGATTCCTTCCCAATAGCTGGATGATGTAATGACACAGAAAGTAAAACTAGCTGGGAAAGCAGGAACAGGGTGTGAAGGAAAAGCTCAGACTTTGATCTGTCGTGTTTTCAGTGTCAATTGGATGTAGGTAGTCTGAGATCTTAATGGAGACACATATTTGTCCACTAGGCCAGAAGCAAAATACTGAGAAACAAAACATTAAAGGCTCTTGGGAAGGAGATGCCATCAAAAGACTGAAAAGGAGTCATTTAGTAGAAAAGAGGGTGGGGAGGCAATGTGAACTGACATACTAGGTAAGAGTTATGAAAATGTAAGATTGGCCAGAAATGTCTGAAGCTGACCAGAAGAAAGGAAAAGGCAGATGATGCAACATTCATGTAATTGATTCGAAGAAGGGTGAAAGGCAAGAGGATACTCTTCTCCTTTCTGGTTAGCTGCCATCCATCCGTCAGCCAGTTTCCCTTGAACAGAAAGCCTTAGGTTTCTGGACTCAAGCCATGTATCTGTATGAGTCCATGCTAGGTATCTGTCATATTTATATCCTCTTGCACATGCTACATTGACAGGAATGATCTTTGTAATTCCTGTTTAATTAGCATAACATCAAGCACATAGTAGGGGGTGAATTCAGGGTTAATGAATACGTGACAGGCATTTTAAAGAAGGTATAGGTCTAAGCTGGAGAGATAACTCAGCAGTTAAGAACACTTGGTGCTCTTGCAGGGGACCTGGGTTTGCTTCCCAGAACTCATCTGGTGATTCACAGCTATGCTTAACTCCAGTTCCAGGGGATCTGATCTCTGTGGTATAGATACCCATATGGTGCACATACATGCAAGCAGGTAAACACATACATAAAAGGAATAAATTTTAAAACGACTATACAGGTTCAGTAGAGGTTGGTAGTGATATTAAAACATACAGAGTGGAGATATTATTACAGAACAGTTTTTCCTTCTATCGAAGAGCATGGAGTCTGCCCACAAGTGGAGAGAGTGGTTTCAAATGAGCAAATGGGGCAGAGATGGGAGAAGATGAGGAATTAGCGCTAAAGCCACTCCCCTTTCCTTTTCTCTAAGAAAGGTTTTTATTTTTATGTGAATAGGTGTCTTGCCTGCACTTAAATATGTACACTGCCTGTGTTCTGGAGGAAGCCAGAAGAGGACACTGGATTCCTCGGAACAGGAGTTACAGGCAGTTGTGAGCTGCCACTTGGATGCTGGGAATGGAACCTCGCTCAGTCCTCTAGAAAAGCAAACGTGGCTGAACTTGTGTCTAGTGCTCCCTCTCCTCTCTCTCCCTTTCTTTTTCTTCCAATTGTGTGTTCTAGGGGACAGGGCCAGAGAAGCAAGAGATACACAGAACTTCGAATGACAAAGCATTGCAGTGAGGATTTTGCGGAATGACTGCTCTGATAAAAAAAAAAAAAAAAAAAAAAAAAAAAAGTTAAAAAAAAAATTGTCAGGCAGGGGATGGCAACCAGCTGAAATAGGATACCCTGTGTAGTCTCCCTCAATGACATCCTCTCCCCCCCCCCCCAAGTGCCTTTAAGAATCTAGGAGAGTTAAAAGCAAACACAAACAAAACACAAACCAACCAAACAAAAACTTTTAACTGGGTTGTGGTGGGGAAGTGGGTAGATCTCTGAGTTCGAGGCCAGCCTGGTCTACAGAGAGAATTCCAGGACTACACAGAAAAATCCTGTCTCGAAACACACACACACACACACACACACACACACACACACACACACGCACGCACGCACGCGCACACACACACACACACACACACACACACACAGGCACGCATGCGCGCGCGCGCACGCACACAGCAAAAAACAAAAACAAAACAAAGACAAACTTGTCTGAGAATCTTGCTACATGTACCAGACTATCCTGGCTCCTGCAGCTGAGTGAATTTTGTCTGTTTTGAGACAGGTTCTCTTCCATGTAGCTCAGGTTAACCCGAAACTCAGTATTTCACTCATGCTGGTCTCAAGCTAGGAGTCTTCCTAGGACTGTGAACCTCTGTTTGGTTGGGGCGTGCTGTGCGTGCAGCCGTGGTATGGCAAGGCAGGCTGCAGGTGAGAGGCTTCACCTAACGAAAACTGGGACGACTCTGTCAGAGCGCGGAGATGTTGCTGTAAGGCCTCGTGAGTAGGGAAGGAGATGCTGAGCGGGCATGGATGCTTCTTCAACTACCCAGGACGCTCAGAAGCTTGAGCTCAGGGCGGGAGGTCCAGACCTCTCATCAGCTCTAATGTGGAAGCCAGTGCACGAGGAGAGGCAGCGACTGGAACCGGCGCTCACTCTTAGGGCATCCCAGGCCACTCCTCGGAGGGAATCCCTGTGGGACGCCTCTCCTTTCCAGAATGCTGACGAGGCTGATCCGGAAGTGCTGCAGTGATCCGGAAACAGATCCTCGAGACAGTCCCCAGGAGCCACCGCCCCCTCGTCGTGCTGCGGTGTGCTGCTTGGGGTCCGCTGTGGCTGGGGCGTCTCGATGGTCCCCCAGCTGGCGGAGTCAGGGGCGGAGGGAGGATGACCTCTCCTTGGGGTCACAGTGCCGACCTGGCCCGCTTCTACACTGTCACCGAGCCCCAGCGACACCCCAGGGGCTACACAGTCTATAAGGTTACCGCCCGGGTGAGTGCCTGGATAGGGACACCGGGGCGGGGCTCGGGACTGCGGCTGGGTGCGGCTAGTGGTAGGTAGGTAGGACTCATGGGGATGGAAACTCAGGATACCCTCGGTAGAAGACAGGAACGACAGACAGAGAAGGGACCCCAGAATGGAGATGTTGGGGATCCCAGGCAGGAGACAGAGACTCCAGGCAGGAGAAGAGACTCCAGGATGGAGATGATGAGGACCCCAGGCAGGAGATTGGACTTATGATGGAATTGCTGGGACCCCAGGCAGGAGACAGGGACCCCAGGATGGAGATGCTGCGACCCCAGGTAGGAGATAGGGACCCTAGGATGGAGATGCTAAGGACCCCAGGCAGGAGATAGGGACCTCAGGATGGAGATGCTGGGACCCCAGGCAGGAGGCAGGGACCCCAGGATGGAGATGTTGAGGACCCCAGGCAGGAGATTGGACTCCAGATAGACTGGGGTGATGGCTAGCTGTGGGATAGCAGCCTTCCTCCACTAGCCATTCTGGGGTGGAATACTGGTGGATGACTTTAAATGGATGACCTAGTCTCTGTCCCATTTGGACTTTCTCTTAGAATGCAATTTGCAGAAGTGGGCTGGCTTGTTCCAGAGAGAAAGAAAGCACACACTTAAAAACGTTAGTGGGTGTGTTGTCTGGTTTACATAACCTAAGAGCTGTCTCCTTTTAACTTCTCATTTAGTGATGGGTTTTCTGTGAGGCAGGCAGGCTGTTGGCAAAGGATTCACTATTAGGTTACCCGTGTTGGACCTCCAGCATTTGTTTCAGAGTTTTCCTGAGCCTTTTTTGGAAGGAGATACATGTGTACTTAAATGATCTCACCTGAGTTGATTTGAGGACAGGCTGGTCTGGCAACATGGCTCAGCAGATAGAGGTGCTTGCTGTCAAGCCTGAAAAGCTGTGTTCAATTCCTGGGACCTGCATGGTGGAAGGAGAGAACTGACTCCCGCAGGTTGACCTTTGACTGACAAAAATGTCTCCCCACCACAAATAAATAAATGTTAAATATTTTTTCAAGGCTGTTTACATCAGTTCAGTGTCCAAATTTACCACTGTTTTCCTTAAATTTTATTGCTCATCTTAAGTTTTGAAAATTACTTATTTCCCTTAGAGGAAAGTGAGAGTATTAGTAACATGAAATATGTGCGTATATGTGCTGTGCTTGTGTGTGAGCTAGGCATTTTGTACCCATCCCCCAGTTTAATTTTCAACTTCACAATGAGGAAACAGATTCAAGGAAGTTTAGAAGTTTGCTAAAGTTACTGTTGCAAAGCAGTGGTAGCTTTGGTCTTTGGAACCAGTTCTGCCTAACTCCAAGATAAATATGGTGTCAGGAATGAACTAAATTGCTAGTATTCATTTTTGAGGAAGACAGGTGTGGTTGAAGAAGGATACTAATACAGTATCCATTTAGAACGCATGCAGGAAGCTGGCCCTGAGAAACCTGAGAGACTAGGTTGGGGTAAGCTGAGCTTGGGACACGCAGCTGGCTGTTGGCATCTGGAAATAGTGCAGAGTCAGACAGATATAAGCTGCTGGGTTGGGTAAGTCTGTTTAAGATAGCAAGAAGGAAAAGAAAAAGATAGTAAGAAGAAGCTGGGTGGTGGTGGTGGTGGTGGTGGTGGTGGTGGTGGTGTACACCTTTAATCCCAGCACTCGCAGGGCAGAGGCAGGTGGATCTCTGTGAAGCCAGCCTAGTCTAATTGAGTCTAGGACAGGCTCAACCCTGTCCTGAAAAGCCAAAAAAAAAAAAAAAAAAAAAAAAAAAAAAAAAAAAAAGACCAACTTTGTGAAGATTAGGGAGAAGTTTGCCTTCCCTTTTTGAGGTCAGATTGTTATATGGGTGGGGTGTGAGTTGTAATTTTTTCTAATAAATATAAGGAGATGAGGAGATTTTTTCATATAACATTCTTGATGCTTTTTTTAGTGGATGAGATGTTTGATTTCCTGATACCCTGATACAAAGGTCATAGACAACTATTCAACAGACAAGAGGCGCCTATCACACCAGTATGCTGGTACTCCTCACTGTTAATACCAGTGTCCCATCTGTCTGGGTCTTGGCCTTTCCCTCTTATTGACACAGGGCAGGTGTCTAGCACTGGTTTCATTTCAACTAAAGCACTGGTCACTGCAGTGCCCCCAGGCTGTTTGAGTTTTTCCTCTTCTGTTTTCTTTTTAAGATTTATGATTTTCAGTTTATGTGCATGACTGTTTTTGCCTACATAGGTATGTGTCTACATTCGTGCTCGGTGCAGCAGAGTCCAGAAGTAGTTAGTTGAATCCCCTGGAACTGGAGCTGCAGACCATAATGTGCCACTATGTGGGTGCTGGACCTGCACCTGGGTCCTCTGCAAAAGCAGTGAGTGTTCCTCACCACTGAGTCACTGTTCCAGCTCAGAACATTTTCCTCTTTATTCTCGGCACCATGAGTAGTGGGTGTGTAGTCCCAGCTAGGAACTCTGCATTCTAAGGTGTGCAAGGGAGTGCACGGGCCTCCCTTTTCTACTTACACAGAATGGAGTCTATGGTGCTTAACTAGAGACAGTAGTGTAGGAGACTGTGTAGTGCCACAGACATCACAGGAAAGCACTGGGAATTCAGAAGACAGATTGCTGTGGCTCTGGCGGTGCAAGATGGGAGGAGTCTAGAAAGGAGAGGAGGTTGGAGTGGAAGAAAGGGATGCAGCCTATAAAGGCCTGGGATTATGATTGTCTGTGGAGCTTAACTGAGCCCTGAGAATGATAATTGTATTATTACTTTTCCAAAAAAGAAGGTTGGTCAAATGCAGATTTAAAATATCCCAGTACAGGGGCTGGAGAGATGGCTCAGCTGTTAAGAGAAGTGGCTGCTCTTCCAGAGAGAGATCCTGAATTCAATTCCTAGCATCCACATGGTGGTTCACAACCATCTGTAATGAGATCCAATGCTCCCTCCTGTCGTGCAGGCAGACCTCAAATATCCCAATATAAATTAGCCTTAGATGTACCACATGTATGTGCTGCAACACTGCCTGTTGCTGTGGTCATTGAACTTGAAGATTATTGACATTGACTTTCTTTCTATAAGTGTCCTCATTTACTGCTTATGTTACAGATTGTGGTTTCTACAATGTTAGTGGGTTTTTCATTTTTATTTTTGGTAGTTGTTGTCAGAGCTGGGGATCAAACCTGGGGTCTCACAGAAGTGAGAGCCTGTGCCACTGAGCTGTGACCACAGCCTGAGGTTTTTGTTTTGTTTTTATCATTGTTTATTTGTGTGTATGCATGTGTCTGTGTGAGGGGGCCACTGGCATGCATGTGGAGGTTAGACAACAGCTTGTGGGACCCGCTTGCCCCCTGTCATCATATGGGCTCTGGAGACTGAACCAGGCTTGTCAGGCTTATTCACTGAGCCATCTCAGGGGCCCCCTAGCCGGTTTTACATGCTTTCAGATTTTGTTTTTTTAAATTCAGGATCAATGTGGAGGTGCATTTAAAAAAGTTATGCCTAACAAACATTATAAATCAAGTAAAATGTTTACTGCTTTTTGGAACTTAAGAAGAAAAACATCTTCCCTCAGGAGAATTCATCAGGTAAATGGTGCTCCCCTGAGAACTCCACAAGGTAAAAGCTAGCAGAGCCTTCTTCATGTTTCCTGCTCCTGACTGAGCTTTGTGGAATAGTTCTTGCATTTGTGATCATCAGGAGTAGAGTTAGAATCATTTCATTGTGGATAACAAAGGGACTCTTCCATCTTAAGTCTCCTTTTTCTTTCTGTTTTTAATTTTCTGGAACCTGCCAGGCTTGCAATAACTTCATAGTTATATAGAGGCCAGCCAACAGATTCCCTATTACTTCTTTTTCGTTTTTGTTTGTAGAGTAACCAGAAGTATTTTACTAGAATGTGATAATCACAGAAGCTTCCAGAGCAGTCAGGCACAGAGCAGTGCCCGCTATATGGATTCTTAGCTGGTTCTGAGCAGTGCCAACTGTGATTGCAGTAATTTTATCTGTTTGCCTGTTGATGAATGTCTGGATTCCTTCAGTTGGGGCTGTTTTTAGTGCAGCTTTGTGAATACTCATGTGTACATCATTGGCATGTGTGGCTTTCTTCCTCTTGCTACTACTTAGCTTTTAAAATTAATTAATTAATTCTTATTTTTACTATATCTGTGTACTAAACCTTGAAATCAAGTCATGTTAGCACTCTTTCAAAATCTGCATATTGGTTATTTAGGATTGCTTGCATTTTTATATGAAATTGAAAAGTAGTTTGTCAAATTCTTCAAAAATGCCTACTTAGATTTTTTTGATGTAGGATTTCATTGAGAATGAGTATCAATTTTAGAAGAATTGATGCGTTAAAAATAACCAGTCTTCTGGAGCATGTCTATGAAGACATGCTCTTCAGTTTGGGCAATACTGTGAGCTTTTTATTCTCTTTCTTTTTTGGGGGGGAGTGTTTCAAGACAGGGTTTCACTGTGTAGCCCTGGCTGTCCTGGAATTAGTTCTGTGGACCAGGCTGGTGCCTCCCAAGTGCTGGGACTAAAGGGTGCGCCACCACTGCCCAGCGAGGTTTTCGGCCTTGCACATAATTTGGGATCCTCATTTCATGTGGCTAACTTTTATTGACTGATGGCAGTGTACTTGGATACAGCTTACCATGAATTAAGCATTTGATATAAACAAAACCCACAAAGTTTCCCAGTGAGCAAGTACCTCTGTTACTTTGAATTTCTGGTGGGGGAGTTGAGGCTTAGAGAATGTACTCTCCTCAGGACCACTAGTGAGCAGGGAGTTGAGTTTCCTTTGAACACTTTAGGCTGGTGACGGATGCTCACTGCACTTGCTGCTGAATGCCCACATAAAACATCTCATTAGATACTGTCCAACATGGCCTTCTTGTCCGAAAGTGATGAGCACTTAAGTATTGGGAAACTTATGGCTCTCAGATTTGTCTGTTCTGTCCAGGGTCTTTTTATTCTACCTTTCCTTTCTGACTAATGCTGTTTAGCCTAAAACTCTCATATACCAGAATTTTAGTAAATGGATCTATTGAAATTTGTTTATTGATGTTTCAGATACTCAGATTTGTTTTAAGTTGCAAATCTTCTTAATGATAAGAATTTTGCTTTTCTTTCTTTTTTAAATGTACATTGGTGTTTTGCTTTCATGTATGTTTGTATGACGGGGTTGGATCTCTTTGAACTGGATGGAGTTACAGACAGGTGTGAGCTGTCATGTGGGTGCTGGGAATTGAACCTGGGTCCCCATTGCTCCAGCCCTTGAATTTTGTTTTACTTTGAATCTTGGCTGGGAAATAGTTTGCTATAGTTTGGTTTGCTATAGTTTGGTGCTATAACTGGTAATGTTTGATAGGAGTAAAACAACTTGGGCAAACATTTGAATATTTACCATTTGAGTGTTGTTGCCAGGACTTGAGATTTTTTTTTCCTGCTATTCCTGTCTTTTGTTACATTTATTTATGTGTGTTAGCATGGCGGTCAGAAGGCAGCTTGCAGGAGTTGGTTCTTACCTTCTACCATGTGAGTCCCAGGATTTGAACTTAGGTTGTCAAGTTTGGCAATGTACTTTTACCTACTGAGCCATCTCACTATCCTCCAATACCTATCTTAACCATTTTGAATTCTTGGTGTTTTGTAACAAGACATTATTGGCTGAGTGGCTTAAGTAATGAGACATTTAGTTCTGGACGCCAGTGGTCAGGGTGCAGTCTGGGAAAAGACTGATTCTTAATTTGCAGAAGTCTGTCTTCTTTTTGTATGTCATGACTGATGGGCTATTTATATTCTTCTTGTGAGGATACTAGTCCTCTGATTACTTCCCAAAGGCCTTGTATCCAGACATTGAGATCAGAGGATGAAGGAGTCAGTGTAGGAATTTTAGGGGGACACAGACATTCAGTCTTTGAACCTTTCTCGGAAACTCATTAGAAAGTGGAATGCCTAGAATCTATCCCATTTACTTGTCTGTCTTATCTGGGAGCCTGCTGGCTTCAGAGAACTAGAAAATGTAAATGTCTGGTGATGGCTTTTGCAGGTGCTGTCTCTGGGGGCAGACTACCTGGCTGGCAGGTGATAGCTGGCACACATCTTCTTGCCAGACTGTGACACCTGCATCTCTGCAGGGAGGCCAGGGAGTGAGGAGCTGAAATGCAGGTGCTACAGTGAGTTGGAGGTTGAATTTGGTAGGAAGACAATTATATATATGAGCTAAATGCTTTGACATGCTTAATCATCCTGGCAGAGTTATGGTTTTGTGTGTGTGAGATGCAATTTAAAGATGGCAATATACCCACATGAAATTATGGGTATATTTCCTGAAAGTCAAAGTCTGAAAGCCAAAGTTGCATGTGTTGTATTGATGAATGTACATTTGGTGTACTGAGTCACCACAGGGAGCAGGGAGTCATGTTCAGTGTCACACAGCCTTTGTGTGTGTGTGTGTGTGTGTGTGTAGCCTGTAATCCCTTCACCACTCTTAGAGATCTGTATGTGAAAAGTAAAAAGGCATGGCCCTCTCTGTCATATTTTATTATCTTTATTTTGAAGTTCATGTTGTATTTAAACATAGTACTTTCTTACTTTACTTTCTTAGCTGAGTCCTAATGGTAGAGTAGCCATGGAGGACTTGGGTACAATGGGATGCTCAGTGCCCATCCAAATTAGCTCTCTGGGCCCCGTTCCTGAGGAGCCTGCTGTGCAGAGACTGTAAACAGCAGTGATCTTAGCAGGATAGAGCCTCATGTTTGTCTGGGTTGTTGAAGGGACATTGGAATCAGCCCCTTCCAGGGGACATTTGTGTTTCACGTGGAGCTCCTCCTGGTCTAGGTTCTAAGCACTATGTGGCAGCACCTTTGGAAAGTCCCAGGGTTCACATTAGCTAAATCACTGTGTCCACCCATATCAAGCTGGATGACCTCGACCTCAGAGAAGTGGGGTATTACCCAGTTTAAAACTGATGCCTTGGAGAGCTCAGGGCCATGGATTTCCTTGTCCCAGATGGCTGTGGGATCATATACATCCCAGCCATGGTCCTGAGGATGGGTGATAGTCCCTGTGCTCAAGAGGTCTTACAGTGAAAAAAAAAAAAAAAAAGAGGTCTTACAGTGTGTTGCCTCTCCTTAGTCTTATACACATACACACACACACACACACACACACAACTCACACTCAGGATTGGCTTCTTAAAATGGATTGTGACTAGTTTCTGATGGCTTAGGAAATACAGTAGCAAGAGTTGAATAATTTTTATAGTTTTATTTCCTAGTAGAAAAGGGGATTCCTTTATATGTGTCTGAGAGGGTGATAATTAGTTGACACAGTGTATGCACATGTACACTTTTGCAGTGTGTGTACATTTGGTGGCGAGGCTTTTACCTGATGTCTGCGCCTCACATGTGTCAGGTGTGTTAGCTATTTCTCTTGTCGTGGCAAAAGACCTGACAGGAACAACTTAGGGGAAGAATGATTACAGTGGCAGAGAACCTGTGGCAGGGCTGATGTGTGGTGGTGTAGGCATGAGTTAGAATTCCTTTGTGACTTTGTAGACAGGAACCAACGAACCTAGAACCAGATGCAAGCGTAACCTTGAAAGACCTGACTTGCTGTTCTGCCTCCACCAGCTTGCTTCAGCTCCTAAGGTTCCACAGCTTTCTAGAACCACACTGCCGCCTGGGGACCTAGTGCTCAAACACAGTTTACAGGGCACGTGTAACACCCAAGCCAAGCATTCGATCACCAAGCTACTGATAAGTCCCTAAAAGTTTGATAGAAGGAACGTGTGGGCTGCCCTGGTCACAGTAACTGATGCTGCAATGGGCACTGTGGAATTGGTGGCTGAACCTTAATGCCTGGAACTTCACTCAGGAAAATACCACTAAGCACTTAGCAATCTAGTGAATGTGAAGTGTTTTTGTTTTAGTGCTATTACTTGCAATTGCTAACATTCATTTTAAAAGTCCTAAAAGTTTGGGTATGGGGGCTTAACTTTATTCATTTTGGGTATGGTTAAATACTTTGCTTGTATTTGCAAGAAGGTCTTTTCATCATCTTTCTGATGAGAGTGATGCAGAGAGCTTTGCTGGTGGGGTAAGATGGCTCAGTGGGTGGAGGGTGCTTTGTCACAGGATGGTGTCAGCATGACAGCCTGAGTTCCATCTTCAGAACCCATACAAAAGTGGAAGGAGAGAATTGACCATAGTTGTCCTTTGATCTCCCTATCACACACACACATGCACCCTCTGAATCCTGGCAGTGGGGTGTGCAGTGGCCGAGGATGAGAATGTCGCAGAATGAAATTAGCACATTGACTGAGCTTTTAGTCGGTGACATAGCATTTATTTCCTTTTCCACAGATGGAATTTCATGCAAATGCTATTGAAAGTAATTACAGAGCTGTGGAATCTTATTTGATAACGAGCTATTTCTGTTTGTTTGGTTTTAGGTTGTCTCACGAAGAAATCCAGAAGACGTCCAGGAGGTAGCAAGCTTATCCATGTGAAAGTCCCTCTTATCTTTGTTGAAGGAACTGCCCCCATCACTTGCATGAGTGTTTGTATTTGTGTGATGGTTTCTCTAGCTGCCTGACAGTAGCTGCGGTTACACTTCATCCTGCTGAGTGGGCGTTAGGTGGTGGGAATGAGAATTTGAGGAGCTAGGGAGCTCTCTAGCCCTCATCCCCACTTCAATAATGTTTTCAAAGTCATGATGCTTGTTCATGAAAGGTCAAGTATTGGGTGACCAGTGTCAATTTTAAAGCTGAGCAATAGATTAGGGGCTGTGCGTACCCCCACTCCCGTGTTGAGTTGGCATGCTGACGTCATGACTGCTATGGGTATCCCTGCTTATTTTTTACTTTTTTTGCTTAGTTCTTTTACAGGCTTCTCTTGCGTTTCTATCTGTTGTCCTCTCTCCAGGATGATGCTGGCCTGGCATGTTTGGCCTAGAGTGGTGGGATCCTCACTAGTGTTTTTCTGCGATTGGCTCTTAGGTTAGGGGTGTTGGCCAAGCAGGCGCTTCCTCAGGTGCATGTATGTTAGTTTACTTCTTGTTTGCTTCCCATTCCTTTTTGAGACCAGAGGCACTGTTGTCAGGGAGTCCCCCACCCCCAGCCAAGTGTTTAAACAGATGATGTAAATTTAAGTTTTTGTTCTGAGGTGGTATCGGTTGTCCCCTAATTGGATTCTAGTGTCTTTAGAGAGGGTATGGACTTCTGCTTAGCTGCAGGTGCCCCTCCTGCTCAGAAGCACCTGGCTTGATTCATGTGGTCGAGCTGATTATTTCACACTGGCTGGCCCAAGTTCATCAGACTCTTGGTGTGTCTGACTTGGTAGTTTTCGTTTCATGACTCAAAACCACAGTGAAAGAAACCCTAAACAGATTTTACAGTATTTCCCTCATGGGTTTTGAGACATCTTTGTTGCTTCCCTAATAGGGAGACTATTGGAACACTAATATTTCAGAAGAGAAAGAGCTATGTGTATCTCATGATTAATCGTTCTCCCCTTGCATGACAATTGATAGCATGAAACATGCTTTAGAATTCAACTTCTGTTTGATTACTGCTGCTTCTAGTAGATTCGGCTTTTGAAAGCTTACAGCTGTTAGACTTGGAAATGGGTTGGGTGACATCTGATTGCCGTTCTGTAGTTGTACCTTGATGTTCCCCTTTTCCAGGGAGAATCCTGAGCCAACTTGTCCGTGAGCGCACTCTCTGCCATTTCCTTAGTCCTTTTTTGGGGGAAATTCTTTTATAATACCAACTGCTGGTGGCCCATTCATCAGCAAGCTCTTGTAAGTGCCCTTCAGTTAGACAGTTGCATGTTCTTATGTTAGAAATGATACAAAAAATTTAGTCTTCTATGTAGTTGACTTCTTAAACCGTAGAATACCCTGAATTTCTGACTGTACCTCCAGGTTCCCATTTGTCATGTCTAAATTTTGGCATTCTCAGAAGAGTTTATTGTTCAGGCTTCCAGGTCCTTTCCTTTTGTGTTCTTGAAGCTGTGAACTCATGGATTTAGTTTCTGCTTTAGAATAGACTCAGCCTTCCACAAAGTTCTTGGCAACTAATAAACACATGCTTAGTTCAAGCAAACTATGCCTATACTGTCCTTATAAAGCTGGGGAAATGTCTGTGTCCTTTTGTAGAGCTTGTCTGATCCCTCCAGATCAATTTGCTTCCTAAGAATGCTAAAACAATACACACAGGGAGTGAATCACTTGATATTATGTCAGCCTCCCTCTTCAAATTCCCTCTCAGTTTCTAAGGAAGTTGAGTTGTTGGGAGATGATCCAGTTCACAAAGTGGCTGCTGTGTAAGCAGGAGGACCTGAGTTTGGTCTTAAGAGCTCCCATGTTTCCTGGGTACAGTGATTTGTGCTTGAATCTCAGTGCTGGGAGGTGGAGACAGGCAGATCCTTGGGTGCACAGTGGCTGAGGACAGTCGACACCCATTATCAACCTCTGGCTTTCACATGTACGTGTACAGGCATGCAAATACATAACACAAAAATTCAAAAAAAAAAAAAAAAAAAAAAAAAAAAGAGGAGAAAGAAGAGATGCATAAGCAGATAGTGTGACAGTCATATTTGTTGTAAGCAAAAATGACCCAGGAAGCTTTTAGTATTCAATGAGAGTGAAAAAGAAGATGTAAGGTGATACTCTAAAACGTAGGGAAACAAGTTTTATGGCACCATTAAGTTTAAGTATCTGAAAAAGGAAATGATTATTGCATGTTGACATGCTAGAAATGCTAAAGGGGGTGCTTTGATGAATAATTGAGCTTTCACCATATATTTGATCTATATATGGTCATCAAATACTTCACTGGTGAGGTCTCTCAGAGTGCCGTAAGTCCATAGGGAGCCCACACTAGCTTCCATCGTTCAGTGGGAGCCAGCAGACCTTACCAGAGAAAATAAGTTACACCTGTGTCTGCTCCTGTCTTGGCAGAGGCACGACCCCCAGTCCCTGCTGATCTGTTGGAAGTGTATTCTTGTTCTTATTTCCCCTTGAGGATTTCTGGGACTTCAGATTTAATGAAGAGGAGTGTGAGGAACGGGCAAAGTGGCTGGGGCTTTCTGCTCTCAGGGTCTTGGTTCTGGAGCCTGGTGTAGCACAGGGCTGTGTGGTGGTATATGACTCTGACCACTTATACGGCTTTGTATGATCTGGTGTCTCAACTACCACTCCTTTATTTGAAATGATCTTAAATAGGACATTTTATCTGCAAACATGACGTGATTGCTTCATAATCTCTTGTTTTCTGAATTCCTCATGCTCATATTGTCATGGTTCATGACACCCAGTTCTTTGGGGTACCGACCCTGCAGAAGACGCTGCATTCAGAGGCTCATTACCCGCTCCTCCTGAAGCTCTTGGCAGTGTGGTACTAGAATAGTTTGGGTTACTTATGTCTTTATAGATCCATGTCTAGTTATTATTTGATCTTCTGAGTTGGACTCTTGCTCTCTGGGTCAGAGTGACCTGAAACTCACTGTGTAGCCCTGGCTGGCCTTGGGCTCGTCATCCTCCTGCCCAGCCTACTGAGTGCTGGGACTTTAGGGACAAGCCATCACGTCCAGCTTAGTTGGATGCATTTTGAAATGTAAAAATAGCACTTTTTCTTATGACAAGATTATGTTTCTGTATCAAGATTGGAAGCTACAGAGAACAAGAGCTGTGATAGCTGCAGCCACCTGTTGTCTGTCCCTGTCCCGAGTGCCTGACTTTCCAGATAGATGCTCTTGCCCTACTTGTGCCCTACTTGTTGGTTCTGGGTAGTCAACATTTCTCCTGTTCACCAGCCCTGCGGACTTTCTCAGCACAGCCAGGCAGCTTTTGTTTTCCTCATCCACATTCCTGCCTGGTCCTTTGGTGTCCCATCACAGACACTGAGAAGCAGCTCCTGAGTGGCCGCCATCTGCCTGCTGATGGCTCTGGAACGAGTGTACTTTACATTTAGGCTCCAAGCCCATGTCCTGTTGAATAGCTCAGAAGAACATGAGCCAGATGTGCACATCTGGCTTCCCTTTGAAAAGGCTTCAAGTACCACTTCTTGCTCCCCATCTCAGGAGACAGTACCACCACTACTCAGTCAGAGACCCCAAGATTCTAGAACTCTGTCTTCCACATCTTTCTCTCTTTGGAAACTTTGTCCACAGCATCGTCTCTACCTCCCCATGCTTTGTTGCTCTGGTGACTTTTGTAGATGCCACTCATTGTAGCCTTGCTCAGTCTCCAGGCAGGGCAGGGAGCCCTTCCATACCTCTCTTACACAGTTTCTCAGCGTTCATCAAGCGCTCTGTGAAGTCACCCAGGGCGGCTTGTTTTTCTTGCCCTTGCTGTGAACCCTGAAAGCAGGACCTATGCTCCCCATCTCATACTTTGGGACAATATAGTGTCCAGAACAGGGTAGGGACACTGGTTTTGATGACCATTTTTGTTGAGTAAATGAAGAAAAGTGAAGCACTGAGCAGAAGCAAGTTGTCTAACTCATGTTATTGTCTGCAGAACCGTCTAGGCCATTGTAATTACAAACACCAAGAAACACATTCTTCAAGGCTAACTTCAGATATGAGAACAAAGTTTGGCAAGACTTGAAAATCATGTCTAGTGACCTCCTTGGCCTAGTTGCATATACATGAAAGCATGTAGACTCTTTTAAAAGTGAGAAGATAGTCAGGCTTTTGGGAGGGAAGGAATTTACAACTTAGGGTTTCTTTACTTTTCTTTGACATTAAGACCATGCATCAACTATTTCCTTTTTATAAAGTGTGCTTTTCTAGTTCAGTCTAACTAAGGTCAAATGGTTTAAGCTAATGACAGCAAATTGCTTCTCCATGTTACCTAATCTAGTGGACTGTTACTTTTTTTTTTTTTTTTTGCGATACATGGGTATTAATTATATTCTGGTCAAGGTTTACTTTGTATCCAGAAATCTTAGGGTTAGTTTAAGATTTATGAAAAAAATTAGAGAATGTAAAAAGTCATGTTTTTCTTTCCTCCTAGCCTGTTCTCCTTCATTGTTAGTCTTTTTTTTTTTTTGGAGGGGGGATGGGGTGGGAGGAGGGGACAAATCTTATGTCCTTTTTGTTTAAAATTTGCCCCAGTGAGCTGAGGGCTGCAGAGATGTCTTGGAGGTTAGAAGCTTGTCCTGCTCCTGCTGAGGACCTGGGTAGTTAGTTCCCCAGCAGCTGCATGTCTCACAAGCACCAGTAACTCCAGTCCCAGGGAATCCAGTACCCATTCCTGGCCTCTGAGGTCTCCTGCATGCCTGCAGTACACATAAACTCTTACAGGCTCATATATCTGCACATAAAGTAAATGGATAAATCAGGAAAAAAAAAAAAAGATTAAAAAAATAATTTGCCACTGGGTGGTTGTGGTGCACGCCTTTGATTCCAGCACTTGGGAGGCAGAGGCAGGTGGATTTCTGTGAGTTCCAGGACAGCCAGGACTGTTAAACAGAGAAACCCTGTCTTACCTCCCATCCCCAAATTGCCTGAGTTGTTTTGTGTCTTGTAAGCATGATATTTGAGATAGTGTTTATCATTTAATTCATTCCCAGGTCAATAGTAACTGGTTTTTGGAGAGAATGTATTTTATGTAGCATAGAGCATTTTTGTACCAGGTTGTATACTTTTCTAGAATGAGTTAAAAGGTTTTTAGGAGGCAGGACTTAGAGCCTCAAGTCAACAGTATGAGGAAAAAGCCAGTTTTGGAGTTTAAGGGAGATGTCAGATCCCTTCATACCTTTAACCCTGTAGGACAGAGTGTGTATATGTTTGCTTTGCATGGTAATTTGAGGTGTTTAAAGAAAAATTATTTGTGGCCCAGAGACAGAATGGTTGTGCTTTGAAATACATTTAATTTTGTTTTCTTTTCAGATAATTGTGTGGAAAAGATACAGTGACTTTAAGAAACTGCACAAAGAACTATGGCAAATCCACAGAAACTTATTCCGACACTCAGAGCTGTTTCCTCCGTTTGCTAAAGGGATAGTGTTTGGTAAGTGCTCTTCTGAAACTGTAACCTACTGTCCCCATCCATTTGTGTCCTCCCACTTCTCACCCATTGGACTGGCAATTGAATCTAGAGCTTGCCAGGCAAGTTCTCTGCCACAGATCTACAGCTTAGCCCTAAAATTGTGACTTAAATGGGATGATTAACTAGCGATGGTCTGTGCTAAGCCCTTTCACCTTCTGTGATGGTTCATCCAGTTTAGCAAGCTCTGCACACTGCTTTTTCATGCCCTCACATAGTTCATACAAAATAGCTTTTCTCCTCTCAACCATGGGATAACTGTCTCTGGCCAGGCAAAGAGACTAGGAAGCTAAGAAAATATGTATTATTCACATTCGTGACCTTGGATGGTTTCTATTGCTGTGATGAAACACCATTACCAAGGAAGAAAAGGTTTATTTGGCTTACGTTTCAGCATTGCTGTTCGTCTCTGAAGGAAGTCAGGACAGGAACTCAAAACAGGGCAGGATCCTGGAAACAGGAGCTGGTGCAGAGGCCATAGAGGGGTGCTGCTTACTGGCTTGCTGAACCTGCTTTCTTGTAGAACCCAGGACCATTGTCCCAGCGATGGTACCACCCACCATGGGCTGGGTCCTCTACCACTGATCACTAATGAGGAAATACCTCCATGAGATCCAGCTGTAAGGCATTCTCTCATTGAGTAATGTTGTAACCCGACTTTGTGGGACTTCAGTCGGATTCAGTCAGGTTCGTACCTGAGAGGAGTGTGGATTGAGAAAATGGCAGGTAAAGATGCAGGATAGAGTCAGGAGGGCAATCCAGGGAATACTGGATGCACCAAGTTTATTCCTCACCATTCCTAAATACCTTAACCAAAAAGAGGGACATGGCAAAAGACTTCTTTATCATGTACAAGGAATACGCAGAATTTATTCCTGAATTCTCCAAGCATTTTGTAACCACACCTTAGACTCAATTTCTCATTATCTATCCTTGAGGGTCAAGAGTAACCACACCTCAGACTCAGTCTGTTGTTATTTAGATAAGACACCCAAGACCAAGATCAAACGTTCTACTGTATCCACGCCTTAGACCTTTAGGTCTTACGACTGACTAAGGACAGTTTTGAGCTCTCTGACCTTGAGCCAAGATGAAGCAGAGCTGTCCATCTTTGTGGGCCCTGGCAGTATAACAAGTCTTCACCCACGCCAGCCCTGTTCATAGCTTTGAGGGCACTGTTTTTCACATCTTCTCTACATTTCCCTACAATAAACCTGGCCCATTGCCCTGCAGAGAGTTCATGCCACAACCTGGCTGCTGAACCATCTTGAGATCTCCACCAAATAAATTATTATTTTTAAACTTGGCTTCATTTAGTTTTCAGGATATAGGCGGAATGCCTTTCCTTTTTCTCTCTGGACCTCCTTACCTGGCCTTCTGTTGTTGGATCTTTCTGAGCGCTCTAGTCTTCCAAGTCCTGCTGTAACAGTCATTAGGTTTTTAGGCTCCTCGGGTTCACAACTCCATGTCCCCTGTTATGTGGCCTGTGAGCCACGCAGCGTGGCTCCACTGCCAGTTCCAATTTTCTGAATTAGTTACTTTCCTCTTTTCTGTGATAAAATTCATGATGGAAACAGTTGATCACCGTGTCTGCAGTGAGTCTGCATTGTGGGAGCTTGTACAGTTCAGGGGACAGTCCATCGACGTGTGTGTGCTGGCGAGAGCTTACAGTGGTGATATCTCGCAACAGTACTGATGAGGAAGTACAGAGGGAGGACGGTAAGGAACATCAGCCATGACCCTCAAGGCTGTCTCCAGTGGCCCATGCCTGTCCACTATGCCTGCTTCTTAAAAGTTCCACAGCCACCCATGAAAGCACTGCCAGCTGGAGACCAGTATTCAGATATTTGAGCCTGTGGGGGCGTTTGATATTCAAATCAACAATGTGCTCATGTCGTCCTGTCTGATGTCTGTCTGTCTGTCTGTCTGTCTGTCTATCTATCTATCTATCTATCTATCTATCTATCTATCTATCTATCTATCTATCATCTATCTATCTCAGGGTTGGTCATTGTGACCTGTAGCAAAGGTGGTGGCTCCTTGTTTCTGAGATTTGGCAGTAGACATCTGTGGCTCCTCCCTAGATGCAGTTTCCCCTCCCTCCCTCTCTCCCTCCTTCTTCCTTTCCTCCCTCCCCTTTCTCCTTTCTCTCTCTTTCCATTAACCCTCTCTTTTTTCTCCTCTCTTCATCCCCCCAATCCCTTTCTTGCTCTGAGAGACGCCAGCTTTCTTACAAAGGTACCACTAACCTGTGATGAGGCCCATATGATGAGAAATGGGACCTCCAGCCATCAGACACTAGTATGAAATGTGCACTTACTGGATGAACGTGGAACATATTCTCCAGTGCTAGTTTAGCCATTTGGCTGACAGGGTGGGATCCTGTATCAGAGCCACCCAGCTGTACCTGCCTTTTAGATGCTGACCCTCAGAGTCTGTCTGAGAAGGCAACTGCCTGACTAATAACTACTAATGAATTTTGTTGTCTGGAAGTGGGGTTGCTGCTAACCAAAGCTACAAATGTGATCCTGGTTTTAGAATTGCCCTGAAGAGGCCACCGATAGAGGTGACATGACTGAACCTTTCCAACACCCTTCCTGACTTTGGGAAAATTCTGGTCTCTATATGTATTCACTAGCCACTACCCAAATAAAATCTTTCTAAGCTCTGGCTGACCTAGAACTCATAGACCAGGCTGGCTTTGCACTAAAGAAATTCTGCCTGCCTCTGCCTCCTGAGTGCTGAGACAAGAGGCCACAATGTCCAGTCTCTCACGTTCTCCCTTATTAAAAATGTCCCTGACTTTCCCCTGACATGTACCAAGTGAGACTGCACCATTCCTTGTTGGCGGGGACTGAGGTCTGACCAACAAAATATCCACATAAGGCACACTGTTGCTTCCCGGAAATCCACTGAGAGGTAGCAGCTACGGCCTCTCCCTGTCCTCTCCCGGGTCCCTTCCTGATGCCAGGAAGGCAGAGGGGACACTGTGGCACTGGGCACTGGGCACTGTGGCACTTCCATCCCAGGCTGCACCTAGACTTCCAAACATGCATAAGAAACCAGCTTCCTCCATCTTGAACGAAACTGTGCCACATGTAGCTACACCGAGGACGACCCACAATGCTAAATCTAACTGTCAGTTGTTCTCAGTTCATATGCAACAAATAAAACCAATTTTGCTGAAGACAGCAACACTTTCCTGTCCTATCCATGGCCTCCCTATCCATCTCATCAGCTGTCTTCTTCCTTTTGTTCTCCTTTTCTTTTCTTCTCATTGCTACTATGGTAATAGCAATAGCTATAATCAATATAAACAATAGTCATTTCTGGCCCTCAATCATATTTAAGAAGATAAAGAGAATTCCAGATGGCAGGGGCCCTGCAGCTGATTGCCTCTGGCCTTTACCAGGTCCGAAGCTCTTGAGGGCAGAGAAAGAGCATGTGGAGTTCTATAGCATTGCTGACAGTGTGGTCTGTCTGTGAGCTGTGGCTCCATCTGTCTGTCTTTCAGGTTCAGTGTACTCTGTAAGATCTTCTGTAAGAATATTCCACTGTAAGACAATTTTTTACAGAGGGCTTTTCTGTCTTCATTAATCAGCAACAGCCACAGAGATTTGCTAGCATGCTTTGTGTGCTGGACACCCTGAAACTGAAAATTCAGACACCATGATGGTCTGTGCAGTGTGCTTGCTTGCTGCAGCCACGGGGGACTTAACAGTCTATGACTCACTTTGTCCACAGGCACCTTCTAGTGGGGAGTGCAGGATCCAGATCTAGCCACTCCCCCCACCACACGTACACAAGCAGGAGGTACCTTGGAGTGCTTTTTGTCATAGCACTCAGTCAATACTCTGCAAAACCACTTAGAATGCCTTCAGGTTCTGAGGACACTGCCCTTCTGATTTGGCATTTTTAAAACTTTACAAAGCAGCCAGTGTGTTGTGTCAACTGGTGATCAAATGGGGAAGCTGTGTAGAATCATCACATTGGAAAATTTCTTACGGGCATTCATATTGTATGTATCATTAGAGCTTGTGTGTGAGCCACCGTGTGTGCCACCCACTTGTGGAGTGGAGTACACCCGAGATGGGCACCTCTTTTTCCCACGAGTGGGCCACCAGCAGCATGTACAGAATCCAGCATAAAAGCTTTCTGCTTCAAGCTGGCTGAGGTTTTTGACCCCACTGCTAATACAGATGTCCCATCATTTTCTCTCTTCAGCCTCCTCTTTAAATCAGAAAGAGTAGAAAAGGGAAAATTATATGAGTAATTACGGTATTAAATTACTAGAGGAAGCTGTTTGAAGTCTTTAAAATTCCCTTTCCAGCTTTAGTTTCAGATGGCCATCTTCTTACAGTGAGTGCCTTGCATGGACGGGCAGGACTTGGGTTTGGATACAGCCCATTATCAGTTGACAGTGTGGCTTCGCTTCATCAAAAACATTGTAAGGCCTTTATGCGACTTGAAGTTCGCATGATAAGTGCTGCAGATGGGCAGCATGGCTGGTGGTGGCTTCTCTTCCTGAGCCTAGACTGTCATAAAACCAAACTGTCATTCTATCCCTAAGTGCAGACTCTCGTTGAATTCTAGGGCGATTTGACAAAACTGTTATTGAAGAGAGACGTCAGTGTGCGGAAGACCTGCTCCAATTCTCTGCCAACATTCCCGCCCTCTACAACAGCAAGCAGCTCCAAGACTTCTTCAAGGTTCGTGCTCTTTCCGGGACGCGTACATAGTAACATGCTTTCCCCTTGGTGTGCAGACATTTAGGTAGGAAGCCCCACCTATCACTCTGGGATTTTCTTATTTACTAGGAAGTAGAAGTTACAACAACTGAGCTTCTGTTGTCTGTTTCTGCTTTCGGTGTAGAAATTGGAAATTTTCAATTCGTAGGTTTTTGGTTTTTTTTTGAGACAGGATTTGTTTGTGTAGCCTTGGCTGTCCTGGCACTCACTCTGTAGACCAGGCTGGTCTTGAACTCAAAGAGATCCTCCTGCCTCTGACTCCCAAGTGCTAGGATTAAAGGCGTGCGCCATTACCACCAGGCTTGCTTCTTAAGACTTTAAACCCTGTGTGTTGCTGTTGTATTGGAAAACACTGAGCAGGTGAGGTATCACAGACTCCAGGAGCTCCTTCTGGAGGTGTTCTTGTGTGGCAGGCTTTCTGAGCAGAGTCCATACTGTACTCCTTTGTGTAAGGGTCTAGCAGAAGTGGCCATTGCACAGCTTTCTACAAGTGGGTCTGTGCAAATTTTGTTTCTGAGGTCCTTGACTGTACATGGTTCATGCTCTTTTGACATGTGACACTCTTGCTGTGGCTTTTTCATTTGTTTTAGATTTGAGACAGATGTCACTCAGGCAGCCTGGTGCTGGCGAAATTGGCAGTATCATTGTTAGTATTCCCTCACTTGTCTTGAATGTCACTGTGAATTGTTGGTGGTGGGTGTCTCTGTTCTATTTTTTTTTTTTTTTTTTTTGAGACAGGGTTTCTTTGTGTAGCCCTAACTGTTCTAGAACTAGCAGGCTGACCTCAAACTCACAGAGAGCCATTTGCCTTTGCCTCCTGAGTTCTGGGTTAAAGGCGTGCACCACCACCGCCCAGCTTGGATGTCTCTTAAGCACTTCTCCCATTTCATTTAATTAGCTTTCTAGAAAGAGCTGAATGACACTGTCATGCTTGTTTGCTCCTTTCTTTAGCAGAAAACTTCAGTTTCTAGGATATATGATCACCATGTGTGTAGGGATATTGAATTTCCCTGGCTGGTGAATCTAGGCGAAGATAAATTTTTCTTTTTTTTGACCTTACTTAGTTGACTGAAGAAGGGCAATCTTTTGAAGGACATTACAGAGTCACGACCTAGAGTTGTCCATGGTGACAGTGTTGTCCCGGATGGTCTTCTTCCTTCCTTTGTCGTTATTCTGGACACCAGGCTCAGACTATAATCCGATGCTTATGTAAACCCAGTGCCAGGCTTCAGGTGAAAGCTCAGGTGATGATGCGGAGGCTTCTCATGTCTTCTCATGCTTCCCTGCTTTCTGTGGGAGTGGAGTTGGGGAGGATTCCACCCTGTTGAGATGGGAAGGGCTGATGCAAGTCAGGGATGCCTCGGGGCTCAGAGATTGGCCTGGGTGTTAATGAAAGTTGGGCAGACTTTAAGCAGCGGAGATTTGGCATCTGCTCATTGTGTGTCTTTGATGTGGGATTCCTGATGTAGCTGCTACTGACTTTGTTTTAGACATGCAATGAGATGTGACGTTAACAGTTTGTGAAGACTAGGCAGTTTAAGTCAAGCTATTCTTGGATTCATTTCAGGTAGTGGCAGGCACCACCTCTGTGTCCTGCTCTCCGACCTACTTTTGTGAAAACATACTGATTTGACATTGTTCTTCTCTAATATAGGCATTCACAGCAATAGTATTTCCCCTGAGCATTCAGCCTCTTTGAATCTGTTTATTTCCATTTTTATTCAGCTCAGCGTATTTTCTGATTTATCTGTACTTTCTCTGTCATCCCATTGGCTATTTAGAACTGTGGTAACGTCTGAATATTTCTTGAGTTTTCTAGTTTCCTCTATTGCTTTTCCTTTCCTTTTTTTTCATCATCTTCGTCATCTTCACCTTTGTTGTCATCCTTGTCCTTGTCTTCCTTCTTCTGTGTCTGTGTCATATTTCTCTTCCTTTCTCCCTCTTCACTTTCATGTCCTCCATTGCCTCCTTCTGAGGCAGGCGCTCACCTTGAACCTCGGGTGTCTGGGGTCCTCAAGGCCTCTTGTGTGCATGTGTGCATGCTTACACACATGCAAAGGCGGACTCACCTAGTAATTTTTTTCTTGTCATCAGAGCACATAGTCTGTGATTTTAATCCCATACAGTGACTTATCCCTAGCATATGTTATACCCTAGAGAACATTCCCTGTGTTCTTCTGTCAGGTGGACATTCCGTGCAGCGTTCACAACAGGGAATGTTGTCAGGTCGAGGAAAGAGGGTCTGCATTTCTCTTGGCATTTGACATTTGATTGTGTCCTTGGCACAAAAGACTGTTGACACATGACAGAAAGGCAATGTTAAGGCACAAAGGAGTTAGCATTTCAGTGAAGTCATTGCTTAAGGGTTATTTGTCTGCTTGTCTGTGATTGGAGTGTTCATTCCATGAAGTCCCATCACTCCTTCCCAACACACCACTGTGGTGACTGCTGTCTGTCTGAGTGTGGACAGAGAAGCAGTAGATTTGAGACCTGAATTTGTAAACTTAGATGCATGATTAAAGTGGTGATCATATGGAGAGATTCAGTTTTAGTTAATTTTGAAACAGGGTTCCACACTGTAGCCCTATAACTCCCAATGATCAGCCTGCCTTAGCCTCTCAAGTGCTAGGTTTGTAGGTATGAGCACCATACCTTGCACAATTTTCATTTCATTTATTTATTTATTATTTATTTTTTACTATATCTGTTTCTAGCAGTTAGGAGCTCTTGCTGCTCTTCCAGAGGACCTGGGTTTGGTTCTTAGTACCTACATTAGGTGTGCACAACTGCCTGTAATTCCAGTTCCAGGGGATCTTACACCCTCTGATTCTGTAGCAATGACACACACAGTGCACATATCTAAACAGAAAATAAATAAAAAAAAATATCTCTTTACTGAAGATACCTTACACTTCTTTATGGTGTGCACAAGTGGCTTTCTCATATAAATGTCTTCCCAGATCACCAGAGTTGCAGTTGATATGATATCATTTGTAATTTGGTAAAATTCAACGGCTGTCTGATGGCCCACACTAGTTAAATCATCGGGCTCCAAGGATACTGGTTTGTGTCCTTCCTTCCTTCCTTCCTTCCTTCCTTCCTTCCTTCCTTTCTTTCTTTCCTTTCTTCTTCCTTCCCTCCCTTCCTCCCTCCCTCCTTCCTTCCTTTCTTTTTTTTTTCTTTTTTTGTAGTGGTTCATTTTCTTAAAAAAAAAAAAAAAAATCTGTGGCAGATTTTGAACAATGTACATTCACATTCCAGCTGGGTGTGGAGGTATACACCTTCCATTCCAGCACTCAGGAGGCCTCTGGATTCTAGGCCAGCCCAGTCCACATAGTGAGTGTCAGGCCAACAAGGGCTAGACAGTGAGACACTGTCTAAAAAAAGTTACATTGAGCATGGTAGTACTACTTTTAAAATGTGAATTTAAAAAAGTTAACTCATTATCTGTAGAGGAGCTAAGGTTTGCAGAGAGGTCCTGTGGAAGTCATTTAACCCTTGCAGCCTTTGTTTTACCCACTGAGTGTGGCCATGCCACATCTGTGCAATTGAGCCACGTCGAATGCACTGCCTTGTGAGTGCTTGTTTATTGCTGATCTTTCTGTGCTCTGACTGACAAGGAGATGTGATTACTCTGCTTTTCAGGGTGGGATAATTAATGATGGCTCTGCATTAATTGGTCCTGCTGATGAGTACACAGATTCCCTGCCTGACACCTTTCCTGAGTGTGGTACAGAAGGTAAGACACTTCATTTTTCCTGTTTCAAAGGTTTCAGTTGCAGAAGATGCGAGTCACATTGCATTGTAACAGCTGCTGTCTATAAGAAGTGGAAGGGCCTCCTTACCTGGCACCGCTTCCCTTTGGCTCTGCACATCAGCCCTGTGCTGGTTTGGTGATGCCTCACATTTAACCGGCAGCTTTCCTCTTTCTCCTTGCTCTACCTTGACAGGTAGTTCCCAGTGGTTTCTCTCTGATGACATAATGAGACAGTCAGACCTCAGTAAGACCCTTGATGCGCAGGCAGACAGTGGGCCTTGCTGTATGAGTGCCTGCTGGAGTCCTTCAGCCGCACCTGAGTCTTAGCTCATTTCAAGGCCAACTTTAAACAAAGCCTGTCATCTAGAAAGAATAAGCCCAAGGCAGTTCTGGTGTGTCTAATATGTTTCCTAATGACACAAATCTCAAACAAAACAATGCTTTACTTTTAACCTCTTTAATTCTCTTGCTTTGTTTTTATTAAGCTGCACTTGAATTTACACATAGATTTGAATTCAAGCCTTTCAGCTTTTGGATTCCTAACTACTGTTTGTTTGTTTGTTTGTATTCAGACAAAATATAAAGTTTTTTTCTTTAATTTTTTTTCCTTTAGATTTTCTCTTTTATTTTATGTGTATGAGTGTTTTAAGTGAATATGTATCTGTGTACCCATGTGTGCATATCATGCTGTTGGAGGTCAGAAGAGGTTGTCAGGTCTCCTGGAACTCGAGTTCTGCACAGTTGTGAGCTGGAACCTGAACCCATGAGAACATGTCCCCTTAGCCACTGACCCGTCTCTCCAGTAGTGTTATGTTCATGGGAAACGTTTGTGTTTTATTTGCACTACGGAGACAGTGTTGGGCATGGGAGCACAGCCTCTGGGAGCACTTCTCTCCTCTGCTGGTCTGCCTGAGGGAGGCAGGTGGCCTTGCTGTTAAACTGTTACATTGGAGGATTAACTGGAAAGGTGCACAGTTATTAAAGAAACCTCTTTTATAAGGCTGGCTAAGGCCTCTGAGGTGGCATGCTTGATGTCTGAGTGTGAAGATCTGGGTTCAGATCTGGAAAACCCACACACAGCCAGGTGGGACAGTATGCGTGTGCAGTCCCAGTGCTCCTACAGTGAGGTGGGAGGTGGAGGTAGGAGCCTCTCCAGAAGTTTGTAGACCGGCTAGCCTGGGGTATGTTGTGGCAGAGCTGAGGACTGATGTCCAAGGCTGTCCTCTGACCACAGGTGTGCTGTGTTATCTGTGTTCATGCTTTCACACACAAACATGCATGGCACACATACATGAAAATAGAGGATAAACAAAAAAAAAAAACCTTTTGTTTTAAATTTTTTTTTGTTTGTGTTGTTTTGATTTGGTGAATTGAATGTTTATGTTTCAAGGCAGTCAGTTTAAATACCAATATCCTCAGCTGGTTATTTAACTAACAACATAAGCGGTTTTAAGATTAACCTAAAGTCTGTATTGGGCAGAGTATCATGCCAAAATAGAAAGCACAACTAAACGTAGTTTACATTTAAAGTAGAATTTTTATTCTACACATGTCCACAAGGTGGCACCATGGGAACTCAAATCTTAGGGCTGGGCTTCTCCATCCTGTGTGCTGGTGGAGTGGGTACCTGTCAGCTTGAAGGAGCTATGCTTTTTGTTCTTAAGTGCTTGTTTCTTTGCCATTGTTCACTTTCCCTGACTAGTTAAATTTTTCTCAGTGGGAAATCTGAAAACAAACAGGGAATTTTTCTGAAGATAAGCCCAGTTGGATGAGGGCTGGTGGTGCCCTTGGGAGATGGAGGCAGGAGAATCAGGATTGAAGGCCAGACTCATCTACATAGTGAGTTTAAGATTAGTGTGGGCTACAGAGTTCCTTCCTCAAAGCACCAAACCAACCCAAACTCAACAAGTAAGCAATAAAGGTAGACACATCCGTGGGTGTATCATTGTGTGTATGTTGCTTGTAGGACAGAGGGCACTCCAGGACTGTTGAGGATAACACTGGATATTTGGGAGTTGTGGCAGAGTGAGTCAAATAAAATGTTCATGATTTGTTATGGTCACCTGGGTTTTGGGTTAGAAGGGACATTAGATGTTATCCGAATGCCTTTCCTTTCAACTGGACATTGGAGTTTGGTGGTAGTCAAACCGGGGATCTGCCAGGTGTTTGGTAACTCCCAGAACTCTGAATTGTTGTGAAAGGATGAGTGTGTATTTGGTGTAGAAAGCTCAGGGTGGGTCTGGCAGCACTTGCTGAGCTCTGTTCCCAGAATCCATGTTAGATGTCTTCACAACCTCTTACAACTCCAGCTCTAGGGGTTCCCATTCCCTCCCTACTCTGGCCTCATCGGGACCTGCATGTACATAGCTTGTACACTCACGTGCATGTGTAGGGTAACAGAGTTGGACTCTGGAGCCCACAGAAAGATGGCCAGTGGCACCACAGGCCCTTGAGCCAAGAGGAAGCTGGGCCAGAGCTTAGCCATGTTTCCGCTGAGCAGCACCAGCTTTTGAAGCCCCTTCTCTTTGTTCCCAGTAGATACACCACAGAGTCTCTGGAACTCTGGTTTCTCAAAGTTGATGCATGGGTTCGTTATTAGCCTTGGCACTGCGGAAGGCTGGTTCTTCTTGGTTCCTAGCTGTCACTAGCTGTGAGTACCAGAACTGTGACTACCACATGGCTCTGGATTTAGGGATTTTACCACAGGCATATTTAGAGGACCTCTTTCTTTTTTCTCTTTTTAAAAATGTATTCTTCAACAATTCCATATATGCATATAATATACCCCTACAGCCTCTCACACTTCCCCACGTTTTCTCCACCCCTTCTTCTCCCTCTTGCGTTTCCCTATTTAGCTGAATGACCCACTGAGTTTAGTTAGGGTTGCTGATGAGTGTAAGTGTGTGGTTGTTAACCAAAACATAGGTTTCTTCCCATGGCTACACTACTGAAGAAAAATGACTGTTCTTCCAGCAGCCATTAACTGCCATCCGCTTCCAGCCAGGGATGAGGCCTCCTGAGCCTCTCCTCCAAGAAGGGCTCCATATCCTGGAGTCAGATCTGATTCTGTCAGGTCCTCATGCCCTCCGACTCCTGGTAATCTTGGTTCTGGGCTGGGTGCGGTTCTTTCTTTCTTTCTTTCTTTCTTTCTTTCTTTCTTTCTTTCTTTTTTGTGCATGTAGCAGGAGTGATTGCTGCTGGGACAAGTAGAGACTCCCTTTGGTCGACTGTGGCAATGTTTGAACCACAGAGTTGGTTAGAGGTGATGAGGTAATAGTAACGAGGCCACGTGTTTTATATATAGTCACCCATGAGAGGCCACCTGTTGTCAAAGGAGGCCGATCTCTTTGTGCCTATGGTCTTCAAATGCGGGGTTCAGATGGCTCATAGTATAAAGCCCCTGTGTGTGGCAGCTCAACCTTTCCCCCAGGCCCGTCTTTCAGAGATGGTGTCCTAGGCAGATTTCGCTCTACTGCCTGACTCTGAGCAGTTCAAAGCCCAGAGGTGAGGGCAGGCAGGTGGACTGGGACGCTAAACACACCCCTCGTGTCTGTAGACGCTTTTTAACAAGTCACCTGGGGCCCTCTAATAGCACGGAGACTGGAATCTCTGTGATCCACACCTGGGGGCAGGAGACTTTCATGGAACCTTTGACTTCCTCTTGCATCACTTCCAAAAGAGGCGTAGGGTTTTGAGTGATGGTGCTGTGGAAGGGTGCGCATGTCCTAAGGGTCCCTGTGAGGATAGATTGGCTGTAGGTTGGCTTAATTTTGACAGACAGTCTGTATATTGTGTCAAGTACCCGAGCTGCGCTGCCCCATCCACTGTGCCTTCCTCCTTAGCGAGACCCACAGCCTGTAATGTGCTTGTCGCTCCCCAGGTCGCGATTACACACTCCCTTTCTGGACTGTAGTCTCCACTTCATGTGATGCTCAGATGCAGTTTTATATAAAACAAGCTGAGTTGTAGGACCCATAGTGAGTAGCAGATGTATTTAAATAAATTAAGTAGGTATTGACTTTTACACATACACTTGTGTTTTTTACACATCATATCTATATACATTTATATATGTGCACATACACACATGTATTTTCCTATCTATGCAGCTACACGTGTGCATATATACATGTATATATTTGCACATCATGTGTCTTTGTACATGTATACATGTGCACTTACATATGTAATCAGGATTACGTTTGCTGATAAAATAAAGTTGTAAAAGCAGGAGGAAGTGGAACTGTGTTCTTAGATTTTTGTGGTCAAAAGCCAAGAAACTGCTTATCTTCTGCTCCTGTTGGGAAAGGGAAATCAGGCATAGCATGGGACAGCCATGAGAGGGAGGGTGTCGCTGTCCCAGTGAGGAGGCCGTGTGGCAGATGGGGCAGTGCTCAAGTTGAGAGGCACAAACGCTCCCAGCTCCTCCCTCTTAATTATCTGGATGTTTAGACTTTTCCTCCAGGTGAATTGTTTGTTAATTTCAAACCAGTCAGATAATGGCAGTACTTAAGGAAATACATTTGTGTTGACACTCATGAAGTATTTTAAACTTGCTCACAAAGTTAATACAGTTTTTTAGAATAGTGGGTGCTATAGGAAGATTTTGATTATGAAATGCTATCTACCAAATGCTGTCCGTGTGGCTGAAAAGCGTGGGGCCAGGATGTCAAGAGCTGACCCGATGTTCCCAATGTCCAGTGATACCCATTTGAAGCTACAGGCTTAAGGAAATGGGTTCCTTTCTGGGAACAAGGTAGCCCTTTATCAGGACCCTAAGAATTTGAAAGAAAGGAAGAACAGATGAAAATGATGCTGTGTTGAGAGACGAGGCGTTAAAGGTGTGTAAAGCTGATTTCAACATGGAGCTTAGCTGCTGGCCACATGTTCTTACTTTTACTTTCTTTGATAGGAAGTGAGCAATTTGAGGATACCACAGGCTGACAAACTGGCCCCCACCTGTTTTCCTATGGCCTGTGAACTAAGAATGTTCTTTTACATTTTTAAATGGTTGAAAAACCACAAACAGTATTAGTATTTGATGTGACATTACATGCAATTAAAGTTTTAGTGTCCACAGCTAAAGCCTTACTGAAGTTCGGCCATGCTTACCCATATAGGACAGTGAGCATGGTGTCGGGTGGCCACCATGATCCTGGAGCTGCAGGGCCTGCAGTATTCACTGCCTGGCTCTCCACAGACGAGGAGTTTGCTGATCTCTTGTCTTAGAATTGTGTAGACTGATCCACCGGCAGTTTTCATTCTTAGCATTGCCTGCCTCCTGTGGAAATAACTTTTTTAAAATGTCTTTTTCTGAAAACTTGACATTTCATAGTCAATCATAGCTGGGCCAGAGATGTAGTACAGTGGTAGTGTGCTTATGGTAGGTTTGATCCACAATCCACAGAATCATCAAAAAAAAAAAAAAAAAACCCAACCCAAACCCAACCCTGCCCAAGCAAAGCTAGCAGACTGCACTGAGATCTCCGGCTGTGCCTAAAGTGCTTCAGGCGGTGTGATCATGAGTCTTGTCTCCTAGAATCAGCAGCTCCATGGAGGTTGAGGCCTGTATGTTTTCTTGAGGTCAAACCCTTTTTAATAATGCAGTTACCGCTGCACTCAATGTCACATACAGAGGGGGCAAGGATGGAACTGTTGAAGATGGTGACACTGAACTAAGATTACCATTACTCATGGTAAAGCAGCACACAGCACTGCGTCCTTACAAGTAAGAGATGTGCACTGTGACATCACAGCCCAGCACACTAGGAAGTACACAATAGGCTGCTGAGCCAACATGCCTGTGAGAGGAAGACGGGTGTGAGCAGAGGGGAGGAAGGCAGGTGTGAGCATAGGAAGGAAAGCTGGTGTGAGCAGAGGGGAGGAAGGCTGGTGTGAGCAGAGGGAGGAAGGCTGGTGTGAGCAGAGGGAGGAAGGTGGGTGTGAGCAGAGGGAGGAAGGCTGGTGTGAGCAGAGGGAGGAAGGCTGGTGTGAACAGAGGGAGGAAGGCGGGTGTGAGCAGAGGGGAGGAAGGCTGGTGTGAGCAGAGGGGAGGAATGCAGGTGTGAGCAGAGGGAGGAAAGCTGGTGTGAACAGAGGGGAGGAAGGCAGGTGTGAGCAGAGGGGAGGAAGCGGGTGTGAACAGAGGGAAGAAGGCGGGTGTGAGCAGAGGGAGGAAGGCGGGTGTGATCAGAGGGGAGGAAGGCAGGTGTGAGCAGAGGGAGGAAGGCTGGTGTGAGCAGAGGGAGGAAGGCAGGTGTGAGCAGAGGGAGGAAGGCAGGTGTGAGCAGAGGGAGGAAGGCTGGTGTGAGCAGAGGGAGGAAGGCTGGTGTGAACAGAGGGAGGAAGGTGGGTGTGAGCAGAGGTAGGAAGGCGGGTGTGAACAGAGGGGAGGAAGGCGGTGTGAACAGAGGGGAGGAAGGCGGGTGTGAGCAGAGGGAAGAAGGCTGGTGTGAGCAGAGGGAGGAAGGCGGGTGTGAGCAGAGGTAGGAAGGCGGGTGTGAACAGAGGGGAGGAAGGCGGGTGTGAACAGAGGGGAGGAAGGCGGGTGTGAACAGAGGGGAGGAAGGCGGGTGTGAGCAGAGGGAAGAAGGCTGGTGTGAGCAGAGGGAGGAAGGCGGGTGTGAGCAGAGGGAGGAAGGCGGGTGTGAGCAGAGGGAGGAAGGCGAGTGTGAGCAGAGGGAGGAAGGCTGGTGTGAGCAGAGGGAGGAAGGCTGGTGTGAGCAGAGGGAGGAAGGCTGGTGTGAGCAGAGGGAGGAAGGCTGGTGTGAACAGAGGGAGGAAGGCGGGTGTGAGCAGAGGTAGGAAGGCGGGTGTGAACAGAGGGGAGGAAGGCGGGTGTGAACAGAGGGGAGGAAGGCGGGTGTGAGCAGAGGGAAGAAGGCTGGTGTGAGCAGAGGGAGGAAGGCGGGTGTGAGCAGAGGGAAGAAGGCTGGTGTGAGCAGAGGGAGGAAGGCGGGTGTGAGCAGAGGGAGGAAGGCGGGTGTGAGCAGAGGGAGGAAGGCGGGTGTGAGCAGAGGGAGGAAGGCTGGTGTGAGCAGAGGGAGGAAGGCGGGTGTGAGCAGAGGGAGGAAGGCTGGTGTGAGCAGGGGGGCTGAGCTCAGGAGCTTTTGCTCATGGGAGGCCATTTTGCTTATATCAGTGGATGAACAGATGTCATTACAGTTGTGTGTTTGGTATTTTTTTTCCCTTGAAATGAAATGATCGGACTCTTCAAGGAAAACAGCTCATAGTATCTGTTCCCAGTTAGCCGGTTTTCCTCCCTGTTAGGATTTTCATGTCACTTTTGTCTGCCGCTTTGATTTTGACAGTTTCCCAATGTGATTTTTATGCCATAATAATGAAATGGGAGGTTGGTATTTGGAAGATCTGGGGCATCTAGGGAACTGGCATTTTATAAATGGCATAGATAAAAGATTATTCAAGACAGACCAGTGGATTTAAATGCAGTCAACCCTACAAATTCCATTGTTGAGATTTTATGTAACCCACATTTCAGTCCGCTTTGAGAGAGCAGCACTGTATAGTTGTGGTGTCATGTAGAAAATAGTTGTATGACAAGATGGCTCAACACGTGAAAGTGTTTGCTGCCAAGCCTGACAACTTGAGTTCGGACCCCAGGCCTGACATAGTGGAAGGAAAGAGCTAACTTCTCAAGGTGCTCTCTGACCTCCACCCCCGAGTAATAACACAGGGAAACACAGTATACACAAGTGTCTTACAACACTTTCCCTTTTATCCACATTTTCCAACCACAACTGTGCGATGACAGAAGTCAAGGGTCAGAAAGTCCTCATGTTTTGTTTAGCCAGACACCGAGACTTGAAAAATATCAAATTGCCACTTCTCCCAGTAAGTAATTTTGGTTTTGATAAATGCAGTTATTTTTCTTAAAGTGTATTAATGTGTATAGTTTTAGTGTTTTATTTTGGGAGGTTTATTTTTATCTTATGTGTGTCAATGTTTGCCTGCATGTATGTCTATGTACCATATGTGTGCCTGGAGCCTTCAGAGGCCAGAAGGTGTTGAATCCCTTGGAACCAGAGTTATAGATGGTTACAAGGTACAGTGCAGCATCTGATGACCCAAGCTGAGACAGTCTGCTAGAACCTGCCAGCCACCAGTAGGCCACACTGCCCTAGCTGAGCTGGTTATGGATGGGAGGATGGGCAGTATGTGTGACCTGTGCCCCTGTGGCTGCTGGTAGTCTCATGTTGACTCCTGTGTTCCTCATTCCAGGTTTCTCCAGTGATAGTGACCTCCTGTCCCTCACTGTTGATGCGGACTCTGTTGCAGAGGTAGATGATGGAATGGCTTCCCGTCAGGGTTCTCCCAGTAAAACTTTTGGTCTGAGTCTGTCTGTGGATTCTTCGGCAGCAGGGGCTGGCGCTTCTGACAGTGAACCGAGCAAAGCAGAAGACCGGGAAAGCCGGAGCCTCTTCCCCAGCAGCTTAAAGCCAAGGCTGGGCAGGAGAGACTACCTGGAGAAGGCAGGGGAGCTTATCAAGCTGGCCGTAAAGAAGGAGGAGGAAGACGACTATGAAGCTGCTTCCAACTTTTACAGGAAGGGTGTTGACCTGCTCCTAGAAGGTGTGCAAGGTACGGTTTGCCCACAGAGCATCCCGGCACAGCTGTGTGCTATGAGGAATGAGAACCGTGTATATTGTGCCCAATGCTCTGCGTCTCCTGTGTTCAGGGCTGGAAATGAGAAACTCACACCAGCGACATCATAGCAGGTGCCGGACACTCTGAGCAGCATCCCCACATGTGCTGTGTGAGTGGTGGTCTTCCTCCTGACTTGACTAGTATTCACAGTGCTGACTTGACTCTAGTGACCATTGCCTTCACTTAGTTAGTGCAAGTGACAAGGATGTGTGTAGCCGAGCATAATGTAGTGTCTCTGAGTATAACTTACTGATTTTTTTTTTAAGCACCAGGCTTTATTTTTGTACTTTTTTTTTTCTTATCACACACACAAAATAAAGTGCCTTGCAGTTAGTGGAGTGACTTCTTGGACAGGACATAATAGTCAAAGGCTGATGTGATGTCAGTGTCTAGAAAGTCATTGCTGCTGCTGTTCTCGCTCCCTGACCTGTTGATGCTGCTTCTTAGCTACTAACTCTTCCGTTCAATATTTTCTGTCAATACACATGATATCCTGTTATTCTAGAACCTTCTGCTGCCCCCTTTCTAGAGTGTGTGTGTTTCCACACTGCTTCTTATCAAGCATTTTGACTGAATTTTATTTTATTTTATTTTATTTTATTTTATTTTATTTTATTTTATGTATGAGTGCTTGCCTGTGTGTGTATCTTGTTTGTACCACATGTGAGCCTGATGCCCTGGGAGGTCAAAAGAAGGCATCAGGTCCCTGGAACTGGAATTACAGACAGTTGTGTTATGTGGGTGCTGGGAACTGACCCAGGATCCCCTGGAAGAGCAAAAAGTGCCCCTAACCACTGAGACACCCCTCCAGTCCCGGATTCTCCTTGTTAGCCTTCGTTTTTGTCCCAAGTGCCCTCGTCTCTGGAGACTTTTTGTTTTGTTTTGTTTTTTCTCCCCAAATGGCCCCTTATGATTCTGTACCGATATGAAGATAGCTTTTTAATTTTATTTTTAGCTGGGGGAGGGCAGGCATGTGCATGTGAGTGTATTTTGGCTGCAGAAGCAAGAGATCCCTCTGGAGCTGAAGTTGTAGTTGGTTGTGAGCCTCCTGATAACTTGCATCTGCTGGAAGAGCAATATTGCTGTTCACTGCTAAGCCATCTCTCCATCTGGAGACTTTCTATTGGGCCATGGAAGTGTGTGTGTATTTGCTAACTGCTGCTTAGCTGACATTCTGACCCAGTCTTCTCCTTTACAAAAGCGGCCATAAGATACTCATTTCTCATCTGTTTCCTTCCTGGTTCCTAAGGTGGTGTTGCTCTTACTTCTCTCAGCCTCTGTTCTCTGCAGAGACGAGTGTGTCCCATGGTCATCGTGGAGCAGAGGTTCAAGTGGTGGCCTGTTTTAGAAGCTGGGGTCACAGAGCTGCTGACATCTGCAGATGTCCTTTTTGCCTCGTAGTCATCATCTTGCTGATGTTGCTGGTTGCGATCATTTGATAGTGACGTGGAGTTTCAACAGCTGATTCTATCTGTGAAACTTCAGTTTTTGAAATTTTATTTTAGCTGGAAGTTTTAACATTTCAAATTGAGAAACCGAAGTAATTTGTCTTTCTCTTTTGATTGGTAGATGATTTTTGGACCCAATTTTGGTTTTCAGGCCTTTCATAGTCTGTTGGGGTTTATGTGTGGAATATTCTGTCTAAAGGGCTCTTAATTTCTGCTTTTCCCCCCAACTGTCCTCTTGTTTTGGGGTTGACAGTGGCATCGATTGAATTGCATCTGTCTGCTCTGATGGTCCTCCTTTTTTTCCCCAAACATAACCAGCTTGCTAAAACATCATCGGTGTTTAATTAGCATAGGTGAGCCATATCATTGTGACATCTTTCTGCCTAAAAGTTATTAGGGACACTTCATAAAGTTGCCACTTGATGGCACCAGAAAATTAAAAACCGTTGCTTCACAATGAGAAATATATACTCTGCTGACTATAGTGGGGTCATGTATCGAACTCTACCAAGCCTACTGAGCATCTGTCCAAAGTCTAGCTAGCTATTTAAGTTCTTTCTGTCTTTCTGTGCATGTCTGTCTGGAACCAGAGTCCTGGCTGCTCCTAATAGGGTTTCATTGTTAATCTGCCATCCAGAAAGAGAGCAGTTGGCCTACTGTTTGTAGTGTTTTATTGTTTACTCACCTCAATATGGCTTTATCTAGACAGACTGTGGGACCCTCAGTTACTGAATTCTAGTTTTTTTCCATCCAGCTTCCAGCTATGGTATTCTGATTCTTTACAAGGAATGTGTTTCAGTCCATGCAGTTTTGCATGTGACAACGTGTAAAGTGTGACATCAGAGCAGGGAGCACAGTCTGAGGAGGATTGCAGCAGTGAGTACAGTCTGAGGAGGACTCTACAGCAGTGAGCACAGTCCGAGGAGGACTCTACAGCAGTGAGCACCACCCTGTGGACCTGTGTGTGTTGTTGTCCTTGGTTCTCTAGCTCATCCTTGGTTTGACATTCATGCTCAGAAAAGACCCATTGTTGGGGAAAGTTAATTCTGGTGGACAGAACTGTCACTGAAGCATCCTGGGAGTCAGTGACACCCTCAAATAAAGAACTGCAGCTCAGCTCTTTCTAGGCAGTTGGTTCTCATGACTGGTGTGGGTCTGTGGGCTTTGTGGTGAGTGGTGATTGGTTCTGGGCCTCTGGTGATCCAGGGGGAGGTCGTCCACAAGGGGAGCCTGCAAGCTTTGTCTGTGGTTCTCAGGGCTGGGAGCTGGTCAGGTTGTCCTCGAGCTGGTGCAAACGCTGCTGCCTTTCTCACTAACTAGCATTTTCACAGCACAGACAAGTGCGTCCTGCTGGGGGTGGGCGGCCTTTGCCTTCTGTGACCCCGACTTTATTGGAGACGGTTCTCAAAAGGAAAAAAGTACCATTTTCTAGACTCCCAGGTTGCCACGGATTTAGAAGAGAAAGTCTGAAAGTCAAGGTTGTGGGAATGAACTTGGACCTTTGTAGAGTATGGGTTGTCCATTCCACGCCATCCTTCCATGTGCCCTGTGTCCTCAGAGTGGGCTTGTGGGGAGAGTTAGGGTAAACAGCATGGCAAATTGATGGCCAAAGGCACTAATGAATTGTTTAAGTAGCGGTGGCGGCGGTGGTGGCGGCAGCGGCAGTGGCAGTGGCGCAGTCTGCCATGTTTTAAATGCCTGTCTCAGCACCAGTGTTTTTCTTCTGCTATTTTTAATTTTCAGGAAAGCCAAAGCCAAATTCTAGCTAGTCATACTGGGTGTTGTCTAGGGACACTGAAATTTAGAGGGTGCAAATAGTTGATATAATGACCCTAAAATCGTGGCACTTAAATAGCAAGAGTAATGATTTAAAACAGGAATCTGCCGGATGGCAGGCATTGTTTCTGTGGTCCCCTGGGAATCACAGAGCTGACCTTGCTGCCTTGGGCTGGTGTGTCTTGGTTGCCAGCGTGTTAAGTTTACTCCTCCTTAGGTTATTTCAAGCTGTCACTTTGAGATGAGGAGGCTGAGGCCCCAGGAGAGTTGTGCTGCCCTTGGCCGGGGAGGGGGTGGGGGAGTGGGGGGAGTGGGGGGTAGAGGGGTAATGTCGAGCTGGAGCAAAGCCTAGGCTTTTCCACACACATACCTTGTTTCCTGACTGTGATGCTGCAAGGTATCGAAGGAGAGCGGCATCCTCACCCAGTTCTCTCCTGATCACATGAGCTCTGTGACATGGAGTGCGATATGGAGACATGCAAGTGCTCGGCTGCGCACTGAACTTGATTTTGCATATTTCTCCCTTCCTGTTCCTTGTTCCTTCAAGAAACCATGAGCTCATATGTACTTCTGGGTGACTGTTGAGTCAGCAGGTGGGCTCTAAATTAAGCCGTGTGTCCAATGGCTGGTTTCAGGACACGCCTGGACCTTGGTGATGGGGTTGCACTCTGTCATCTGCGCTTAGGTGCTCTATGCAGTTGCAGTCATTGACTCTTCCCTTGGATGAGAGTTGCTCACCCTGGGCTGGAGAGATGGCTCAGAGGTTAAGAAAACTGGCTGCTCTTCCAGAGATCCTGAATTCAATTCCCAGCAACCACGTGATAGCTCACAACCATCTATAATGAGATCTGATGCCCTCTTCTGGCTTGCAGGCATAATATATATATATATATATATATACATATATATATATATATATCAATAAAACAAACAAGAAAAGAGCTGCTAACACATTTGGAAACGCTGTGGATCATCATGTTTGTTTTAAAGTGGACAGACAGAATAGGCAGGAAAGTGTGGGTCTGATGGAGGTAAACAAGGTACTTTGTTGCTGTTGGATCTTAGGAATGGAAAATGCTACTCTAACCCCAAGTTACTTGTCTCCTCACTTAGTGCTATTAACATCGTGTATTATGGACACATTTCTAGTTCACTTTACCTGCCGCTCACTTCAGTACAAACATTGCTGAGCATGAGGACAGCATGTAAAAAGCCAGTTTGTTTTTTGTTCATGCATGTGCCTTTTTTGGAAGGGTTCTCTTGTTCACTGCTGTGAATGCTAGGGTGTTTGGCCACCTGGGGACCAGCGATTCTCTTGCCTCTACCCTGCTACAGGTATGCTGGGAGTGCAAATGTACACCATTGCCTCTGGCTTTGTATGGGTTCTCAGGTTGTGAACTCTGATTCTCACACTTGCACTGCATACGCTTTATCCACTTCGCCATCTCTCCAGCCCCTGTTTTTATTTTTTCATACAGCATCTTTGTTGGCCCAGAAATCACTATTCTGACCAGGCTCTCTGCCTTGTGAGTGCTGGGATTACAGGTGCACACCACGATGCTTGGCTTAGAAAGAATGCTTGTTTTGAGACAGTGTAATGTCTTCTAATTCAATGGTTCCTCTCCTTTTTTGCTTACAAACCTCTTTGAGAGTTCCCTCCTTCTTTTTTGGTTTAATTTTGACTCCAGGGCACCTTGTAAACCCCCCCCC